GAAAAAAAGGAAATGGGCGCAGTTCGGCTTGGTGGGGGCATTTCGCTGGTTCCCATCGATCACTGTGAAATCCTGTAAAGCTATGCACTAGCAAGAGCTTCGTTTACATCTAACAAGAGTCTACAGGTTTCATCAGGGTGTGACTTGTAATTTACCAGGAACTAGCAGAAAGCTTGTTGAAGTGTATTATGTCCCTCCCAAGCCGAACAGTGCCGGGATATGGACAGCACAAAACATTGTTTTCCTACCGAAACCCCTTTGAACAGCGTGTTCTTGACACATTCGAAGAGAATGTCAGCCATTATCTGGTTATCGTAGCTGAACTGCTCCAATCGAACACCTGGTGGCAGCCGATTTCGAGTGCAATTGAACGCTAGCGCCAAGGCCCTGAAAGCACAAGCTGAGCCAAGAAAAATGAGCAATAGCACCCGCTTTATAAATGAAGTTTTGGGAATGCGCCATGAGTTCGTCTCTCAGATAATTTTCGGATCATTTACAGCTGATATACACTCCATTTCTGGATATTGCGAGGGCGTGGCTGAACATTTCATTTGAGTGGGGGTGGCAGGGATGTCTAATGGGTTGTTGCTTGTTTGAAAAATTGCAACCAAGTCGTTGTGCAGCACAAGACAGGATGAGAACTGCCTCAAACGGAACTAACCCGCGAAAACACATCTTGCGCCATGTTCCAAATGAAGTGCGAGGAAGGCGCCCTCCCTATCACCAGGGTGTGGGGTCCAATTCCTCCTTTTTTCAGATATGTCTAATTGAAAGCCAACTGTGTGCAGGAATCAGTGTGATCGCCGACCTCATGGAGTGTTCTTATCCATAGGACAATCATAATGCTGCGCAACATTACGCTACTTTTTCGAAATTATTGGTAAGACTACCAGGTGGTGAAAATCTTCGCCCTTATCAGGTGATCAGGCAAAGCGTGCTCAGTAGCAGGTATGTTTCTTAGATGAAAAAAAAGATAAATGCATTTGAAAAATGGGGAAACGTCGACAGCCACTAAGCGAACCCTCTTGAGGGAGCGTGTTGGGCAATTTCCAGGAGCGTTCAATATGCACGATTTTCGTGACCTTACGACCCAATAACAAAATCCGTGCGAGAGCTGCCTTACATGGCAGAGGATCAACGAAGCAAAAGGTTCACCTCCTCTAGTAGCATTTGCTGCATAGCCTTTTGTGTTCTGAACACTATGAATGGCTACGGACGCATTTCGCGCAGGTCATGTGGGCGGAGTCAGGCGCATCACTATTCCCTCATTGATATGCCTTCAGTTACAAAGCGTTTATGAGTACGAGCATGCCTTTGAGGAAATCTCCGCCCATACACCAGCGTGAAATCCGTTCCAGAAAAAAAGGGATGGTGGAAACGTCTATCAAGTACTGCAACGCTCCAAATGGGTACAGTTTGTAGAAGCTGGAGCTTTCACTTCTTTCCCTCTAACTGGGATAGAACTGGAGGCAACGTTGGAAGGGCCACCTGTGATTGGTTATTAGACAAAAAACCCAATCATACGCACGTCACGCGCACTAGCCACATTTTTTTGCCATAATGGCTGCCCGCTACTTTTATTCAGTCTGTCATGGGAGGAAAACGATGGTAATCGCAGTCTTTCACTGCATTTAGTATTCAGTAAATTTCTGTTCTATTGTGCATTTTGTTTAGCTTTATTTCTTTCTTTAGGCAACCAAAAGGCCTTTTGAGCTATTTGCTTGTTGCTATTTCAGACGTAGCCTAGTAATACTATACATTCATGCGCATATACGTCTCCATGTTCCCGGGAGGTTTCAGCGCATATCAGCATAAGCAAATTTGTTGTGCTCACTTGGGACCCTCCCCTAAACGAGCGACCGATCAATACTGCACTTTCTCGACGCATCTTAACAACGTTCACATTTAACAACTACTGCGATCCCAGAAACAGCTATGTTGACAAGTACTGACACTCTTTCCGAAATTAACTTAGAAACTTTACCAGTTCGTCGTGATCGTGTCACGCACACGTCAACTTCGGCTCTTTCGAGTATAAGATGAAGTAAGTTCAACAGAAGCAAAAAGAGCCCAGAGAGCTCACCAAACAGCATCGTAGGCGAGTGGAGCTTCCGGAAAGCCACCAGTATTTGCTGGATCGGAATCTGGTGACAACATAGCCGTAAGACGTGCTTGGAATTCTCGTCCAGTCATTCCAGATATTGTAGCGTTCTCGTCACGTGACAACATCACACTCTCTGTCGTGAAGTGATATTGGGCCGCTTCTACCATCTGAAATTTTTTTAAAAAATATGAAATCTCGAACAAGTTGAATTAGTGAAAGATCAGGCGCAGACGCTTTTACAGGCCACCTTGTACAGATCTGTGAATTCTTGTGACAAAAGAGGCTCACTTGCACCGTTTCGCAGCTTCTCTGAAGGTCTCATCAAAATGAAACCTGTTACCTGTCAAAAAGTCAACAAAAGAAACTAGCGGAAACGCAAAATGCCCCCTCCAAACCAAACAGTGCCAGAACTCATCGCAGGAATGTCTGTCTGGTACTGCAGTCTTTTCAACGGATAAAGCAGTGGGAATGCATAGCTCGTATTTGTTATAAGCTGCATCCCACACAACTCTCCCATTTTGATCCCGTTTTAGAATCGAAACGGGACAGTGTCGATTGGACGCCTGTGATTGGCTACTGTATAGAAACCACCAAACATGCGCGCTTCACGCACACACAGTGAACCACTTGCCACGAGGGGTGCTCGGATTTTCGACATAGTCTATCAATCGGGAAAAAATGTGAAGCACAACCCTTCACTTCATTTCCATGACCAATAACTATAGAAGGATTCAAAGACAGTTTGCTCATCTACCAAAAAAAATCAATATGCTACTAGTTGTCCTACCTGCTCAGCAGTACAGTTGAGATGTTCCTCTGGTGGTGGAATGTACCACGTGTCAGCATACCATCCAATGAAAAACCATGTGTACTTGCGACCATACAGCTTATGATGATATGCCTAAGACGTCGAATTTGACCAATTTCATCGTCACAGTCCAAGTTTGGGCAGAGGAGGGGGGCAAGTCCCTTGAATTCGGGTGTGTGGCGATTCTATCGTCGATGATAAGTAGGTCGCCGCGCTGGTGGGCGCCGCGTACGAGTCCTGCTGCGTCGTGCTCGTTGAAATTGTTAAAATGATCATCAAGCCATATTGTTTATGTTAATCCTGTACTGCTTGTCCCATTTTCCTATGATGATCAATGATTGTTTTTTCCGCATTCAAAAGTAAAGGGGTGTAAGACTGGTCCCACGTTATTTGTTCAAAATTACTGATCCAATTTTGGGCTTTTCGGAACTTGTGAATACGCGGTCTTCGAGACTCATTTGTATGTCGGTAATGCAACTCCGGAATTGTCGCACCGCGCCGCCGCGCGAGACGCCGCGACGCGATGTGCGCGACGTGACCTGACTTGCCGACGATAGAATCGCCCGGGTCCCCTTTATTCCTTCGGTCTCAACAGGCTCATATCAAACTCCTCTGGGGGTATGAAAATGCAGATTTCTACAACAGCTGCCTCCAAGTCAATGCAGGTGAAGCACATTTCACATTCAAAGGAATTGCAATATAGAATGGAACATGAACGCATGGCGCAGCTCAAAGAAGGTTCCAATCACCACCACCAATTCTTGCCTCAAATTTACTGTTTAATCATGAAAAGGGATAGAGGATAAAGTCTTTCCCGTTAATGAGTGCTTTTTTAGTATGCGGCACGAATTCTACTTGCCCTCAGAGTTGTAGCGGCTTATTGAATGCGGTATGGATAAGCCAATGTTATTATCGCTCAGACGGAGGTACCAATTTGCCGTCTCGGAGAGTGAAAGGCTCGGCTGCTCTGGGCGGGAGCCGAGTCAGGATTTAACCTCCGAAACGCGCGCGTGGTGAACGTACCACACCTCTGCCTCGATTTTATGGTTTTATAGCCCAAGGACAAACAGGGGTAAAGCGTCGAACGCTGGTGATCCCCTTTTCCGAGTCCGCACGCCATAGCTTTAAGAGTCTTGTGATGTAAGTCAGCACTTTTACCCTCCCGGGCAAGTATTCCACCATGGAGATAGGGAACTCGATGAAAGGCTGAGCTGGCCTGGGCGGATTTTGACCCAAAGTTTGACCTCCAAACCACACGCGCGGTGAGCGGGGCACTTGTCCCGACAACGTTTTCGCCCCTCATACAGCTTTACGGCTGAATAAGTAAGGGGTGAGGCGGAGGTGGTGTAGTGGCAAGTGGCACGCTTACCAGGCGCGGTCCGGGTATCAAATCTCCTTCGGCTCCCGCCCAGGCTCATCAAGCCTTCTACCATCCATGGACGGCAAAGTGGTACCAGATTCGTTTGGGAAGACAAGAACAGTGACTTGTTCATCGACTGAAGTCTTTGTATAGGCCACTTCGCCCTTCAATAAGCTATTAGATTCTGAATGGAAGTAGAATTCTTACCGCAACCCAAAAAGATACATTGACGGACAGGACCCTTAAATACGGAGTCATTACTGTCAAGTTACCACACCTTGATACAGTCAACTGTTCAATGAAGTCCCGAGGAGCCTATTTGTTGAACAGCCTGCCTGCGCTTAATAAACGCAGCAACAGCTTATCGTTTGTCAATCTACAAGTGCGTCGTTGCAGAAATTTGAGCGCAATCCACATTTGCGGGCTGAGTGACGAGCAAAAGTACGAAAAAGTGAATGGGGTGAGAAATCGAGTGAAAGTGACGTGCCATAATCTCAAGGGATTTCAACATTCGCTGATAAATTCGGCATTATCGCACGACAATCTTGTCGGCCATTTGATATACAGATCCCTAACTCCCCCAAACATATCCTCCTCACCTTGAGAGCTTAGCCCTTTTCAAACTTAGTCGGTCTCTTGAAAAATGAAAAAATGCGGGTCTATAGGTGAAGGCTTACCTGACACAGGACTTTCCTCGCTTCCGTCACGTAGAACAAACCAACGATAACTCGAGCATCCTGACGGCGTAACGTCTTCATGGCGTCTGTTGGATCACCATAAAAACTTTGGCGTTCAACACGAATGCCTTTACGACGTCCTAGTTCCTTGAAAAATATTTAATTCATTACAAGGTAAGATTTAACAGTTGTGAGTGGCAACTAGAATCCTGGGATAAAGGGATCTTTCGTGTCACACACAGAAAGGAGAAACTTCCATAGGAGCAAACTTCCGCCTTGGATCTGAGTGGAGGCTACGAGGCAAAAATAGCTGGAGGGGGGAGAGAAAGGAAAAGTACGGGTTCATGGCACTTGTTCATTGCCCTCACGTGCAGTCAGAACCGATATGCTGGCTCGGAAAAGGTCTTGTGAAGTACGGCTCTCCCACAAGTTTCCTCCTCTGACACGTCCCTCCCCATTGAAAAGTATATAGCTCAAGTGAAACGGGAAGAATCGCGAAAAGTCAGCAACTGGGAAGAAAACCTTGACGCGCAGAAAGGGTTCTTTTAAGGTCAGATACGAACCCCCTCCCTCTCGCGACCATGCACGATCCCTGCCGCTGGGGAATTGCCCAGCGTACGACGTGCACTGACTAGAGTTTCCCATTTACAATCGACCTCTCCCTCAGAATATACTTGGAGCTATCAGAAACCATTGACGAAACTATCTCGAAGAGAGGACGCAGACAAGCAGACAAAACGCGGCATGATCATGCACCCCCCCCCTCGCCCGATCTACCACTGTCTCGCGGATTCTTCGTACAGCGAGTACAGCCAGCCGAGTTGAGAGCCTACGTTCCATGCTTAGCTCGATGTCTCATACTTGTAGGGACCCCAGGGAACCCAGCCAATTATAGTTTAGTTACGGAAAAGTTCTCTAGAGAGAATACTTTCCAGATAACCCCCGCAAACAAGCTTGTGTGCAGAAGACCAAGCACGTTCATAACCGAACAAGAATTTCTAATTTCAGGCGTAGTGGGCTAGGGGGAGCATTGTAAATTACTCAAAAATTCAATACATATGTGGAATTATGTGCTCCATTACGAGCAATTACTGCACGAAATTCGTATCACATACGTACTTCTCGGTACCCCTCCTGCTACGGTAATGATCCGTAGCAAATGCCTCAAAAGCCTCCACAGGTCTAGACAAAATGACTTGCTACGTTGATAGAATTCCAACCCCCCCCCCCTCCCGGTCCCTGCTCAGCTGAGCTGCGCCCTGTGATCCACTCACTACCTTGGAATTCCTTGACTTTGAAACCACTGCTACAATCCTTGCAGCTAGTAATTACTATTACAATCAGTTCCAAATTCCTTATTTCACCACATTTTCCCGCGTTAAAATTTCATGAACCTCCCGATCAAACTGACAACGGTCCCGAATCGGATGTAGCAAGTAGGGCTGTGGGTTGCCCAGTTTGATTTTCGGCTTGCGGTAGAAAGTGGTGGGCGTGGGACGAAAAATCTGACATCTTCGTATGAATAGCACCCTTGGGAAGCTCTATGAAGCGCATCAACTAAACAAATAAATAACCAGTACAATAAATCTTCGAGTGCATGTACCTCGAGATCTTTGGCTGTTGATGTGAAGACTTCTTCAACGGACTGAAGTATGGTGATCTTTTTCCAGTGAAATTTCTCGAACAATCGCATTCTGCAACGAAACTTCTTTACATTTTCATGCAGCACCGCACTTTAATTACTACATTATTGCCCTTCACTTATTATCAGTTCAGTTATTTACCTTGCTTCACTACTGATTATTACATAGTTTTTAGCTTACGGTATTAAAGGGGTTCTGGGCTTCACTACATAGGTCTTCCTCGTAATTGATCAAATGAAACTTTCTTCTATGGTTCAAACAAAATAAGCGACTGAAAAAGCCTCATTTCGATCAATTACAAGAGAGATTTATTTTTATCCTCTTGACTGTTATCATGTCATTACCAATAATTGCTTTATTTATCATTTTATTCCTCTTTGATCGATTCATTCATTTCATCCATTTATTCACTCAATCATACATTATTCATTACTTTTGATTATTACTAGGGTAGAGTTATAGATTGTCTCTACCCTAATGCTTATAATCCTTACCCTAATTATAATAATTATAGGCTCGAAAAACAAAAACTATGATTGCACACATAAACAAGGTTTCACTATTATTATTCGCATTATCATTATTTTCTTATCGTTACCAGTCGCGCATCGCCGGCTGTCGCCGGGCGCTCCTCCTTCTGTGACATGGCCCGGCTTCGCCGGGCCATGCGGATTTGCCGCGTGCTAAGTTAAGGATCGTTGACCAACCACACTGTTCAAAGGAATCTTCTGCATCAGCCAAGAACTGAAAAGCAGCGCTTGTTCCGTCAAGGCGCAGAAGCAGCAGCAGCGCTTCCCCCCTCCGCATCACAGAAGGAGGAAAGCCGGCCTTAGCCAGCGATCCGACTGGTACGTTCATAACCTACACGGAAATAGTGCAGCCTGTTTGGACAGCCACTGAAGCAGCCTATAATTTATGCAATCTGTCTTCCTAAAGCGTCTTGCTTTGGAATGCACTACCGCATTCAGCAGTGGAACCCTTTAAATGGCCCTCACTGAAGTTGCTGATGGAAGATAATTGTGGTAAGAGTGATAAAGTCAGTTGCTGCTGTTCATAACATCTCTGTAAACAAACCACATGCATTTGGAATAGAGCTGGCTTAGCGGTCGTACACGATGTCGTTACTAATAAGCAGTGAGGAATGAGTTCTGTTGGAATCACTGAGATCGTTATACTTGAGTCATATCGATCGCATTGTTGTTGTGAGCGGTGAAGCGGATTTTCCCATGCTACCTTGTCAATTTTAGTACCCGCCAATAACACTCCCGTCCCGTATCACTATCATATCACCCTGTATCGCCTCTCGGATCAGAGGTCCCACTGTTGCTGTAACCTGCGTTACGAATCTGATGACCCTCCCCTTCCGAGGCCGCTTACCGTATCTTATCAACTGTTATCACTTTCTGTCGCCCGCCAATAATGTTCCCGTCCACACCCTATATCACCTCACGGATCTGAGTTCCCACTGTGCTGTAACCTGCCACGAAATGTTGATGACCTCCTCTTCCGAGGCCCTGTATCGGACTCTATACAACTAGTTAATCAGCTCTGCCAGCCCCACCCTAACGGCATATCATATCTTAGAAATCGATGGTTCCCGCGTTGCTGCAACTTGCCACGAATTCGGTCACCCTCCCCTTTTAAGGCCCCTTATCGAATCTTATCAAGTGTTATCACCTCCTGTCACCCACAAAAGTGTTCCCGTCCTGCCATGTATATCACTTCTTCAAATCACGGTCCCGCAGCTGCTGCAACTTGCGCTACGATTTCGGTCACCTCCCCCTTCTAAGGCCCCTTATCAAATCTTATCAAGTGTCATCACCTCCTGTCACCCATCAAAAGTGTTCCCGTCCTGCCATGTATATCACTCCTTGAAATCACGGTCCCGCAGCTGCTGCAACTTGCGCTAGATGTTGGTCACCCCCCCCCCTTCTAAGGCCCCTTATCGAATCTTATCAAGTGTCATCACCTCCTGTCACCCATCAAAAGTGTTCCCGTCCTGCCATGTATATCACTCCTTGAAATCACGGTCCCACACCTGCTGCGCAACTTGCGCTAGATGTTTGGTCACCCCCCCCCCCTTCTAAGGCCCCTTATCAAATCATATCAGGTGTCATCACCTCCTGTCACCCATCAAAAGTGTTCCCGTCCTGCCATGTATATCACTCCTTGAAATCACGGTCCCACACCTGCTGCAACTTGCGCTACGAATTCAGTCACCCTCCCCTTCTACGGCCCCTTATCGTATCTTATCAAGTGTTATCACCTCCTGACACCCACCAAAAGTGTTCCCGTCCTGCCATGTATATCACTTCTTGGAACTGTCATCCTATCTTTTCTGCGACGCTCGCTATGAATTTCGTGACACACACACACACACACACACACACACACACACACACACACACACACACACACGGATTATATAGTAGGGATCATTATCGCTTACTCATGATTATTAAGATATATTATTATTATTATTACTGCTGATTATTATTATTATTAATTAGTATTATTAGTATTATTATTACCCTTATTGAATATTATTGTTGGTTATCGTTATTTTATAATATTTATTATTATATTATATGTTATATTATATTATTATTATTATTAGTATATGTAATTCCTCCCTTTAGTATCTCATTATCTGCACATGTTTAGTTTAATTTATTGCCCAATCAAATTTTTGCATATTCTAGTTTTTTCCCTAATAGATTCACGCCTATTCAGCCAACAGTTTCGAGGAAACCGACCATTGGTAAGCTAAGTACGTGAAACTAACTTCAGTTCCAGTTTTTTCTGTTCATAATTGGAAGGCATGAAACTAAAGTGTGCATTATTCCGTGCAAAATATTTTGCGCTGATAGCGAAAGCGAGATTAGCAGGCGAGAAGCTACTGCAATGGCTTTGTATAAAACATCAACTCACCGCGTTGGATTTTGCATATTCGCTGATGGATGTGTTCGAAAAATAGTGTAGGAAATCGGTCCCTATTTGATAATGCTGGAGAGCTGGCGCCATACGAAACCTGAAATTATTATTCATTAAAATTTCAGTTCTTCTTCAGAATCATGAGCTATGTACAGTCGTCATCCGGGCACTTGATTAAGCGGCCAAAGGGTCGCGACGCGGCTGCGGCGCGTCACGACCGCGGCGATCAGCTGTTTCCAGCCTGGTTTAGCCATTTTCTCCCTAATTTTCATTGTATTTTCGATTCTTTTTTCAATGTAAGTTGTGTTATTGTCTTTATGAAGTATATTAGGACATGGATCCTTTTTGGTTTTGTAATGAAGTGTCTTTGCGGTTTTTTTGGTATTTGTTTAATTATTTAATTATTCGCAAAATTGTAAATTGCCCAGAAAATTTTAATTGTCTTCGCAAGATCGAGATATGATTGAGATTCCTCTGATTTCTTGCGAACAATTAAACAGTCAAAGGAGCCAAATAAAAAATACCTAGAAAAATCGCAAAAATACTTCATCACCAAAAAAAAGCGGTCCACGTCCTAATACATTTGCAGAGCAGACAATAATACAACTTTATCTCGAAAAAAATAAATATACAGTGAAAAACGTCGGAGGGAATTGTGCCAAAACCAGGCTGGAACATTGGTCGCGCCACGGTCGCGACGTGACGCAGCTGCGTCGCGACCCTTTACCACCTAACCAACTGCAGATGGAATTTGTAGAAGAGAACCCGCCGAATGACAGGTGATCCTTCAGTACGCTTCGAAACTCAGCAAAACTTAATGTATACCTCAAAAGCACATTCCTCAATAAGTGGATAAGTGTGGTGGAGGGCGGGCATAACAATCATTGTGTGCCTATCACAGATTTGTCCCCTCCCGTATCCAGTACAGCGGAAGAGGGACCGATCAGTGAGGAAAGCAGAATGGTTATGAATGTCCACACGCTTGTTTGATTACCTTGGGGTGTAGCTTCAAAGGCTGCATGGAATTCAGAATGCCTGACCCGGGTAGCCTGCTTTCTTTTCTGCCCGATTTGTACTGGTCCAAAGAACAGGGCACATTATTAGTTAGAGATTTTGGTCGAGTCCCTGTGACCCTCCTCCTCTCCTCCCCTCCCTAAATGTGCCCTGTAAAGGAACAAGTAGGCTGTTCGCTGCCAGTTTTTCTGGAAGTCGGTGCACGTTAACAACGACGCCATCTCCCAAAAACTCCAAACCTTTACCAGCCGAGTCGCCACAACTCACTACACTTGAAGTCCATAGTCCAAGTCAGTCAAAGTAATTTTTTTCCTATTTCGACCCCCTCCCTCTATTCGACCCCGGCCCTTTCTTTGATTTTCATTCTCACCTCTTTACCAAAGATGCACTTATCAGAGACGATATCCATTTAAGAAATCATCGTCCCATATGGACTTGCGTTTAATTCCTGACTTCAATTGCCCCTGTATTGAAGAAGATTCGTAACCACTGGGCACGTCCGAAAGCATGATTTTTTTGTGGTTCTCAGCGCTCCCATTGGTCCACGTGCTCGTCATCCCAATAGACTCACGTCATTTCACAAGAGATCAGTGAAGCAGAAAACATTGAATACTTCTCAGCGCAGAGAATACTCCAGAGCGCAGCTGGTAAGTGTAAATAATTGCGTTAAAAAAGGATGGCGCACTCGGAGTTAATCAATTCCCACTCGAGATGGGCTATGCTGTTCGAATCTAGACTACGACTTGGTCCTACATTGACTTGGGGCCATGTGATATACAGATCTCCTTCTCTCCCCATCAGGCAGATATGCAGCCAATTAATCGTACTTATAGAGATGAAAGAATCAGTTGGGTAGGGTTGGATACACCGAGATTTGAGCACTTGACCCACTTGTCCCGTTGGAGCCTATGCAAGTAACTATCAATAAAATCAGCGAAGGACTACCTTCTTAGACTGAAGGGGCCAGAGAAAAGATTCTTCGTCCATCAGTCGAGCGCAGCATATTGTTTAAGCATTTTGAATTGAGCCGATTATCATCTACCCTCTAGCTCAGGATCAACAACACGCGGGGAACAGCACCGCTGGGAGACCCCATCTTGGG